GACCTTGCACCGCTGGCATGGCTCACAAGACCTGACGGCTGTCAGAAGCTGTGGCCCGGACCGGCTTTCCGTAGACCTTCCAACTCGCGAAACGGCCCCACGCGGACTGCGCCGACCACGCCGCCCAAGCAGCCAGCCCCGCTGCAATGTACCCTACACCATAGAGCAGATCGATTTCATTGCATACTTTCGTGATGATCTTCGCCTACCGTGGAAAACCGTGGAGGAGCAGTTTGCCGTCGTCTTCCCCAGAGACGTCAATCGGGGCCACAGGCGACGGGCACCAGGCCTCCAAGGCATTTATTACCGCCAGAACAATCGGTCTTCCAAACAGGATAGCGATGGCTTCTTGATGCTTGGTTCGACCGATGGCTCCTTCGCCTCCAAGAGACGTTGTTGGGGACGAGGCGGGAAGACGACCGGCTCGAACGGTCTGCTCGCCACGCATCCCGAGCGGGCTGTCAACTATGCCTGGGTCTCAGTTGAGCATAAGACACAGTGCAGCATCGGTTGTACGTGTTTTACTTCTCCGGTCCTTTTTTTCCCCTTTGTTTTCCCCTTTTATCCCCCCCCCCCCCCCAAACCCCCCCCCCCCCCCCAATCCCGGTCTGGGCACGGTTTTCACTGTGGAACTGAAGTCTGGCGCAGATGAGTGCGCAGGCCGTAAAAGATAAGAGAACTCCGAAGCAGCAGCACGGCGTGGAGATTACAAACTTCGCCTCGCCTGCAATCATCGTTAGCTCTGTCGCTTTTTCTTTAGATTCCATGAAAGGTGTTGTCCCCTGGTCGTGACGCAATGGAGGCTGTTCATAGGGAAATACAAACTTGAGCCTAAACGACTCCTGTCTGCAAGTGACGTCTATAGGGATGACTTCGTGACTGCCCGGACCATGCGACAGACAGACAATGTATCCTGCCCAAAATGTGGACCCGGCGCTGCCCACTCTGGTCATCCCATATCAACTCACGACACAAACGTGCACTGCCTGCCTGGCGGTGTTCTTCGCCGGGTACCGTCCCCGAGGGCTTGCTAGAGGCGCATTGCTCCTGCGGCTATCGACACCAGGTCGGGTCCATCCACCCCATCAACGGCCCGAGGACGCGGGACCCCGATACTATGAGTACGCTGTCAACAGTTTGCTTGGTTGCGATGCGTTGATTTCCGCAGTGACAAGGATCATCCCAGCCCAGTCAGGTATTCCCAGAGCCAGGAGTCCGTGACGGGGAGAGATGTTTTGCTTCCAACACGAGACGGGACAACGAAAATGTTGAAAGCCCTCGAAATA